TAATTTCCCTGCACTTTAGAGCACGAATCAGTGCATTTGTTGGCTTTACCTACATATTTCTATTCAGATTGCAAAAGCATTGGCATACCAGCATCCACTGAGAATGCCCAGTGATGGATAGATTTGCCACAGAACAGCATTGCGATCAATCACAGACTGGACTACGGGAGGAAATTTTACCCATCATCCTTTGTTGGTGGTGTTGTGAGCCAACCTGCTTGCCCTTCACTGCAGACAGTTATGAGATAATTCACTGAAGGTCCAAAGCTCCCTCACCCAACACCCACCGACACTCCCCTATCCTCAGACACCCCAGGGAAAACATGCTAAGAGCCATCCTTGCTACCCCAGCTGTCCCTTATTAATAATAAATCATGTTTCCGGACGTAGAATAATACAATAAAAGCATTTCCACCGCACTGCTTCGTGTCAGCAGGCTCTCCTCATGTTTTTGCAGTGACCTCCTGCCTTTTAGCTCTCACATGAGGGATGGAAGAATAATACAACCAGAAGGAAACAGTCTACAAGGACAAACATGTCCAATGACTTGACTTCCCCGAGAGTGCACAAACAACCGAGTCCCATTAGCGGAGCTTTCTTTTATTTCCTGCCTTTGCAGATAAAGCATGCATCGCTGCACACATCTACAAATCGCTTAGATTTCATTTCAGAGATGATTGATTCATCATCCTCGTCGATTTACTCTCATCCTGCTGCTTCCTCTTCTTGTCGTGCTGAATTCCCCACAAATTATTTAAGGCTGACTTTGGCTGTCACCGCCCTCGTGATCACTTTCTCCCAGTTTAACAACAACAACATGACCTGTTAAGTCCCAGCACAGTGGAGCCACCACCCTGGAATTTAATCAGCTGTTTAAGCAGCTGTTACTTCTGCTGTCACAATGAGATCCTCATCTGTGAGATAGTTTGAAGTTATCAGGAGGGAGCTGCCAGGTCCAAAGCTGCACCTGGCTTCGTGTGTGGTTGTACGCAAGTGCGTGCCAGTATACACTCTCAGTTCTGGTGTGAATCATGACTGTATTCCTTCTCCAAACAGTCTTAAAGCTTGGAGATGAAAGGACTTGTTGAAATATTTAACTTCACTAAGAATAGAAAAATGTGGGATTCAAATACCTAGTGGGGACATTTCTTGCTTTAAATATAAGCTCTACAGTTTTATTTTACAAGTGAGAACCTTCCCTTTAAGAAATCTTCAGGAACAGTTCTCCAGGCTTTGTGGAGACCAGTCTATGACTCTTGCATGTTTTTTCTATCCAGGTTTTTACTGCATATACAGTGGGATTACTGTCATGCTGAAAAATGAAGGTGCTGTCAGATGCTTTCCACGTGGTATTACATGGTGTCTCACAACATGATGGTACTTTTCTCTGACCTGTGTCAGGTCTTTGTTGGATTCCCCCTAATTCTTAATAACTTTCACATACTTTTAATCTGCTGTAGATAGTTTTTAAGGCTGACACTTCTTTTGTCCTCCACTTGTCCACTTATCTTATCTAAAGAACACATTGTACAGCATCCTGAGATATGACAAGGTTTTGACTGATAGCTGTTTTGGTGCCTTATTAGTACAAAAAATTTTATGCCTGTCAAATTGTTTTATATTTGCCATTTTTCATAGAGTCAACAAAAGAACAATTTTTTTCATGACAGGCTGTTAGTAACAAAAGTGCCTAAAGATACAGTTTAAAATGGGTTCTTTGCTAAGCTGTCCGTCTGGTTCATCCCTTGAGTTAACTGCTTTTTTTATGCTTGAATGATTCATAGGTCTGTGGTAAGTGGATTAAAAAAAACAAAAAAACACTTCTGAAAACAGTCGTGTATAAAAAGTGGCCTGAAAATGAGTGAAAACGCACCAAATGTCTACAGAAAAACTCTGAAGGACCTTCAGAAAGCTTGGGAAACTATTGCTGATGACCACTTTAAAGTTTACAAGAAAGTCTGGATCCTCAAAATATAAAGAAATGACACATGCCTCAAGATTTCTGCAAATTACTTAATTACTCATGAATGTTTTTTTATATATATATTTTTAAAATTCTCTTCTGTCCTGGCTTTGAGATGTAGCTAAAGTCCACCATTTTGCTTTATTATCAAACTTTGTCTTGGATACTGAGTGAAATCCCTGAATTTACAACACATTCTGTGTTTGTTGTTGCACAGAATCGTATTTTATTTGTCTGCATGCTGCTAAATGATAACATTGTTTCAATCTAAATGGAGGAATTCTGCATAAGATTCACACAGGACACTGCTCAGCAGTACAGTATGCGAAAACAGCCAGTGGGTCCAAGTCTGAATGAGGACCCTTGTACTTTGCTGGTGTGTTTGTGTATACATATGATGTGAATCCCAGGCACAGAGACAGAGGTCAGAAGATTGAGGGAGTCTCTTGTTTCACAGGTCTGTGGTTGCCTAGTGGCCTATAAAACAAAATGTTCCTATCATTCTTCTTTTCTTTCTTACTTTCTTCAATTTAAATGTCAGAGATAAATGATTCCACCTGCCAAATGGGGCTCACAGTTAAATAATGCCTAGAATAAAACAACGTAGTCACGTCTGCAGCAGACCAACCTACATGCTGAGCGGCTACGAAACCACCCAGGCTCTTCTTCACTTGGCGTTGCAGTAAATCTTTGAAGGTGGGTGTAACAGCAAAAAAATTATACAAAAAAATGCTTTGTTTTAGTGTGACACTACAAGAATGTGAAGTGGAAACCTCAGCTTTAAAAGTGATACTGTAAGAGTGGACTTTGCTGCAGGTACCCCACTCCCTGGTTTTCAAAGCATGAGCACATGTGGATTCCTTCACTCCCCAAGCCATTGTTCTGAGTGTAAATACCAAACAGAGGACAGTGACTAAAAAGAAAACAGAAAGCGAGTGCACTTTGGTTCAGGTGGTTCCTTACCATATCATACACGTTAAGGATGACGGGTTCATTAGCCATGGTTTTAACCTGAGCTGGAAAGGCAAACCTTAGTCCGCGTTTTAAGGTTGTCAGCACCTCCTCATCCGGTGGAGTCACAGGGCCACACGGTGGAAGGCAGGAGCTGCAACGGGCAGACCTCTGCAGGAGGGACGGCCGATGCTCATTCCCCCACAAGGCAACAAAACTGCATGGACGCAGCTCCGCGCGTAAAAGTCTAAAGAAAGTGGGCAGCTGAGGGCTGAGATAGATGTCACAGTGCCATTACGGCAAGTACGGTCAGGAACTCAGATCCGAGCAGGGCAAAGCGAGGTGCAGCAGTGAAAGAGGCCCATCTCCGAGCCCCGAAATATAGTCAGCTGTTAAGGGAAATCGATGGTGGCAGCAGGCGCCTTTGCGTAATAACAGCAACCACGGCACTCAGCTCACAGCATCAGATCAGGGGTGATGATGTGATCCATAGTCGACACGAAGGCCCTGCATGCGCTGAAATCCGAGGCGGGTGCCCTCCTGTCATCATGAGCGAAAAGGCGACAGCTAGAGCAGATGGAAGTCGAGGATGGAGGCGGAGTGCGGGCCATTTTCACGCGGAGGATGATGGAGCAACTGCGGGAGGGAAAGACTCCTGGGCCATGGCGGTTAATTACAGCTGATAGGGGAGTCAAGTTCAGCAGGAGCATCCCCAGCCGGTGCTGCTGCTACTGCTGGTCAGCATCAAACATCCTCTTCGTAGAGAAGGGAGGACAGCAGACTCAAACCTCCGCGATACGACCCCCAAAACATCGCCGATCCTCTCCCCGAGACCGCTCCACGAAGGCTTCCAAATCGGTTTCACCAAGTCCCGAAGCGGCCGAGATGCATCCGTATTGTGCGGCTATTATCCAGCTCTGGCTCTGCCTCCCCGGTTGATTACATCATATGTGCCTGCAAGGCATCCTCCAACAGCTGATGGGAGACAGAGCCGCTGGTGGGAGTACAGGAGCACATTTTGTTACAAAAGACACCTCTTTACTATTTCTGTCAGCCCGCTCGACAGACTGAAATGCTCTTAATGTTCCACCTCCAACTTACACCGATTTAGGGAACACTTGGTTTAAAGTGAGAGAAACAATTTCAGCGTTTTGTGTACTTAAAAAAAACTCAACTGGTGCTACACTTTAACACAAAAAGGAAAAAAATACTCTTAATATTCGCAAATCCACTTTTACTTTGAAAAACAAACAGACCACATCCGGTGTTGGTCAACGTCCAAATTTCCAACCAAAAAAAGAAATAAAAAGGAAAAAAGAGATAATTTATAATTTCTCTTTAATGTCAAATAATGAAATTATCTGTTTTCGTGTTTCGGAAATCTAAGTTTTAAAAAAACGAAACTCACTAACCAATAACTTTAAATAAAAAAAACATGAAAAAAAACTACTTAGACTACATTAAAAACTTAAGATGTGCACGCATTCCTAATTTACTGTCATTTTAGAAACTTAGAAGTAAATTTGGATGAATAAATGAATCCGCTTATGATAAAGTATAATGGCTGGATGGGCACTTTGTTTGGAACAAATAAATACAATTACAGATCAAACTATTTTCAATCTACAGAGAGGATTACATGAAATGGGATAGCACAATTAATACACATGCAGATGATGATGAAACATATACTAACTTGCTATATTTGCTTAAAAAAAATATA